TATTTAAGGACATACACAATTTAATAAATGACATACAATATAATAATAATAGCGAAAGTAATAAAATTGAAATAATCCTAGATAATAATTTAACAAATAAGGATACATTTTTTCTTGACTAAATATTTATGTACATTACATCAAAACATTGCCGGTCTCCTTAGTAAAGCTGACGCTCTCTCAGTCTGTTTAAGTGAGCTCTCCGACCGAGATATTGATGTAGACGTAATATGCATTTCTGAGCATTTCATGGTGGCTGGCAGTGAGAATCAGTTACGCATGTTATAGTAGAAAGGCGAGTAAGCGAGGAGGTGCATGTATCCTTGTTAAGCGTGATCTACAATGGAAAGAATTGCCCACCATAACAAAAATGTCATCACAAAGCATATTTGAATGTTGTGCAGTTAAATTGACTGATTATAATATTATATTTGTGTGTATTTATAGAGTTCCGAACTCAAAAAACATAAATGACTTCTTTGATAAACTTGAAATTCTTTTAAAATATTTATCCAAACAACGGTGTAAGAATATAGTAATAGCTGGTGATTACAACATTGACATTTATTTTCAACAATCATTTAAAGAAAACTAAGCAATCAACCGAATTTGAATGTATTCTCTTAAACTCGAATTTACAACTAGCATTAAGGCAACCTACTCGGACTGCGAGCCAAACATGTATTGACAATTTTGCTCATGATTTTGGTAAACGTTGTAAGATTGAAGTAGTGGAGTTCGCGCTATCCGACCACACAGCACAGCTTTTAAAGTGTCCCGTACGAAAAAAGGATGCTCATAAATATTATCGCAAAGTTACACGAGATTACAGTCCAGAAAATATAGAAAAATTCAAATCTTGTTTAGACAGTCTCTCCTTCTTCGATATGTATGAGATGGAAGATCCTAATGCAGCTTACAACTGTTTTATAGAAACCTTCAAATTATTTTATGATTTGTGTTTCCCTAATAAAATTGTTACCGTTAACATAGTTAAAAAACCCGCTTGGGTATCACGTGGGATTAAGATCTGTAGCAAAAATAAAAGGAATCTTCTATGGAAATACAGGTTAAAACCAAATCAATATAACAGAGTTAAATTCAAAAATTATTCAAGATTACTTAAAAAAGTTATTAATTTAACTAAAAAGGCTCAAAACACTTACAATATTAAAACGTCAAATAACAAATCAAAAACCACATGGCAAATCATCAATAAGTCCAAAAGTCAAAACTTGAGAACTTGTATTACTTGCATCAATTCTGAAAATAAAAAAATCACTCAGCAGAAGGACATAGCCAATGCATTCAATAATTATTTTATCGATAAAATCCAGCCAACAAGTAACGCAGGAACGAACTCAACGTCACTGATCGATAGCAGAGCACAGTCTATGTTTATGGCTCCGTCTACACCACATGACATATACTATATTATAATGAAACTTAGAAACACGTACAGCGTTGGCTATGATGGTATTGCCACAAAAATATTAAAAGCAGATGCATTGATAATATCTACACACTTATGTTTTATTATCAATCTTTGTATAAGCGCAGGCACTTTTCCTGATTCATTAAAAAAATCTATAGTAAAACCGCTTTATAAGAAGGAAAATCACGAATTGATGTTAAACTATAGACCGATTGCGATTATACCAGTGTTATCCAAAGTCTTCGAAAAATATATATCGGGAGAAATCAACCACTATTTAGAAAAATATCACATTTTAGCTGACGAACAAAAGGGATTTCGCAAAAACAAAAGTATAAATCTGGCTATTTATGATTTTCTACATAATGTAATGCTAAACATAGATAAGAGGACACCTGTATGCGCCATTTTCTGTGACATGACACAGGCTTTTGATTGTGTGCATTACAATTCCCTAACAGAGAAACTTGAAGCGTATGGTATCAGGGGTAACGTCTTAGAATTAATAAAATCATATCTTCATAAACGTAAGCAGGTTACCGAAATATATCAAATTTGCAACAAACGTGAGATAATTGTAAGATCTGAGGAACGAGAAGTAATATACGGAGTACCGCAGGGCAGTGTGGTGGGCCCTCCGATGTTCACTTTATATATAAATGACTTGCCTAAAGCTGTTGACAAACCAATGACACTTTTTGCTGACGATGGCACTGTGACTATAGCTTGTAATGACAAAAGTACGTATGAACATGACATTAATAATTCTCTTATATCTATCATAAATTGGCTTAATAATAATAATTTAATCATTAATTTAAAAAAGACTAATGTAATTCATTTCGGACAGCGTACATATACAGCTACCAATCCTAATGTTCAGTATAATAATATTAATATAAATGCAACTGACACAACAAAATTTCTGGGTCTTATTATTGATGCTAAGTTGTGTTGGAAGCCCCAAATAGAAGCTCTGAGTAAGAAAATAAGTAGTGTAGCCTACGCTTTGAAACAACTAGCAGCGGTTCTCAATGCAGATGCACTAATTACTGCGTACTATGGATTGGCTGAATCCATTTTAAGATACGGTATAATTTTCTGGGGAAATAGTACGGACAATGAAGTAGCGTTTCGGGCCCAAAAAAGATGTATCAGATCGATGTTTAGACTTCAAACAACAGACAGCTGCAAATCTTATTTTAAAGAGCATAGAATATTGACATTACCCTCATTATACATTTTGGAAACGGTAATGTTCACTGTAAGTCATCCTAACTTATTCCAACGTTTGTCTGATGCTGTGCCAAGGAATAGACGTGACAATACTCTGCTTTGTGTTCGCGGCGGTAAAACTGCTCTTTTGCATAAGAGTATTTTTTGCATGGCTCCTACCATATTTAATAAATTACCCAAGTCATGGAGATTATTGGATGTATCTGGCCTAAAATTGAAATTAAGAAAATTATTAATAGAGAGATCTTATTATAGTATTTCTGAATTTATGAAAGAGGATAATTTTTCTTGATTATTATGTCATTTAATTTATTTTATTGTATAAAATAATTTTTATTGATAATTAAATTGACATTGAATTGATATTGTATTGACATTGAATTTAACTAATAACTAACTTGACATTGAATAGAATTGATAATTGAATTGAATTGATAATGTATTAAGATTTTAATAGCAATTTTATCATATGAATTTAATAAGTGTAGTCCCGGTTTGAAACCCAGCAATTGTACGCCATTCAACTATTTGTACGCCACGACATGCGGCTGAACATGTTTGAACTTTCTTTCTACTGTAATATCTTGCATGCAATGTATGTATACCATGTTTAAACAAATAAATATACTTACTTACTTACTTACTTACTAAAGAATCATTCAAATCGTATTTTTTTTTTGTTTTTGGAACCCGACTTATTAATCCTCAAACGACGAATTCTGTGCTCCAGCTCCAAAGCACACGAGCACACTGTTTTGATAGATATGATTGAATTTGAACTTTGTTTAGCGGTAAGAAAGCGCAAATTTACTTTTTGACGTTAGGAACACACTTTTTCTTCTTTCATTTATTTCTTAGATACCAGTGAGTGCTTGTTATTTAATATCAACCTTATGTACAACAGCAATAAAGCTCAAATTGATTCGACGTTTTAGTTAGAAAACGTTTGTATGTGAAAAAGAAAAGGACTGCTTTTAGGGTTTTCCCGGCAATTATTCGATTTTTTCTCGCCGTAAGAACCATCCTTCGACTTCAACGAACATCTTAGAAAAAGAATTGGCCAAATTGGTCCAGGCGTTATTGAGTTATGCGCTTACAACACATTTTGCGATCCATTTTTATATATAAGAGAAGAAGAAGATTATAAAGAGGTAAAATTTTTAATTTTGTTTGTAGGGGTAATCCTTACCGCTGGTCGGATTGCCAAAATTTTTTCACTGATAAATAGCTACAATGTTTCTGACTGCTATAGGCTATAAGACATCACGCTACGATCAAATGGAGCCGAGCAGCGGGTAAAACCACGTGAGAGTAGCTAGTAAATTATAAAATGTCTAGACTTGAAAAGAGACAGACCTCTGACTTTGTTTCGGCATTTCTTCTAAGAGTAGGTAGTCAGATATGAAATGCCGGCTTCATCTAGTTTTTACATATAATTTTGACGTTTAAAAGTGCCATTTTATTGCCTATTTTCAAAAATAAATTCATTGTTTCGTTGCTTCTATTCCTAACCTATTTTTTTTTTTTTTTTTTTTTTTTGCTCTGGCAACACTGTGAGCCGGTCGTAATAAAAACGGCCTCCTAACATTTTTAATATAATTAAATAATTTAAGTAATCAAATTAGCCTAATTTATTGTAAATTCAATAAATATAGTAATAAGTATTGTGTTGAGTGTATGTGAAGTGTTTTTACTGCGTAATTACACATATACATTGTGATATTTACCGGCAACCTGTCAAACAAAGGAACTACGACGAACGGTGGATTCAAAATCATAAAACCGGGGGAGTATTTGTTTTTATCTTCATTTTTATTGTGTTAGAATTAAGTAGTTAATAATATTGTGTCGCTATATAATTGAATTTTAAACAACACTGACAAGTTTACTCTACTCAAGTCTTTGAGTAACGTCCCGTACACACCGGCACAGTTTATGTCTCCTTTTGCTTGACGATAAGTGGAAGCAGAATCGACGACGAAAACATTAGCCCAGACAATAAAAACTACATAACTGACTCCACAATTACATGTTAGGCCACTACTGTACTAACCTTTAATTTACGTTTTTCTACTAATTTTAAACTTTGTCCCTACCTGTTATTTTAATCTATTACTAGCTATATTACAGTCAAATCTGTCGTAATAATATTATAATCCATCTCCATTTCCAATTCAACTAACTTTTCTTTGTAATTTTAATATTAAATACTTTGTTTTATTATTTTTTTTTTTTTTTTTTTTCTCCTTTTTTTTTCGGTCTACCTCCACTATTCACATACAAGAACTATTTTCAATTATTGCTAACACCTAACTTTTTACCCTTTCAGTAAATAAAGGACATAAGCCTAAGACTAAGACAATGATGACTCGGAGGGCTACCACCATTAAGGACCTGGAAGAGAAACTGCGGGCTACACTTAAAGAGCTGGAGAAAACAAAACAGCTGTGCAGCCAATTGCTCCAAGAACGGGATGACAGTGAGGTTGAAGTCAAAGTTATAGTTGACAAAAACACATCCCTCAAGAATGAGCTTGCTGAACTGCACATCCAGTATATGGATGTATTAGATCAACACAACCAGATGCAGTACACCATCTCCACATTTCAAGAGTGCAGAGACACACATGAAGCTGCGCTAAAACGAATATCTGCATTAGAGTCTGAACTGTGTGATGCCCATAATTTAGTTTCTTCTTCGCAGAAATGTATGTGTACAAATTATGTTGAACAAAACAATCACACATTGTATGAGGAACTGGTAGGCTGTAGGTTACAGTGTGAGGAACCAGAGCCAATTACAATAGACCTGACTTGTGATGACACCGTGCATAGATGTCCCTTTCAATCTCACAATAAACTTAAAAAATATATAAAAATTAATAAATTTTTAAGGAAAACACAAAGATCACTTAAAAAACACAATTTAATAAAAGTGAATCTAAGACTTAGAAAAGAAAGAATTAATTTAGTTAAAGATCTCCAATCTTGCACTACCCAAATGGATAGCAATAGGGCAATATATAATAATAATATAAGAAGCCTTCAGGGTGACTTAACAATAAAAGAGGGTATGTTGAGGGATATTTTCGAGAGGTATGAGGAATCCCAGCAGCAATTAAGCGAACGCCTGCTTGAGGCTGGGGAGCTGATGGACATGGTGAAATACAACGCTGAGAGATATGAGTCGTTAACAAATAATATTGTCTGCAGTTGTATGAACCAACCTCAGTCTCCTGGGCCTTCTTTTGAATCCTCCTCAATAGTAGCACACCCACAGAGAATTGTTGGTAGTAGTAATAGCAGTAATTTAAAATATAAAGCATTAATATATGGGGACCAGCTTACATCTGGTTTAGGTAACATGATATATGGTCACTTAGACCATAATTACATTAACAATAGTTATCATAGTCTGAGTTACAATAAGATTATTGAAAAAATAACTCAGACTGAATATAATGAAAAATCAATATTAGTTTTAATAGTAGGTAACAGTTTGGATGTAAAAAAAAGGGACATTTTAAACGGTGTGGACACTTTATTAAAATTAAAATTGGGAAAAATAATACTTTGTGCATTTCCCTATTCAAGTACCTTAACAGACTCCAAAAATAGACATTTAGGTGTACTTAACAGTACACTGCACCAATTGACATGTTGTCATAGTGATAAACTTATATTTTTTGACACTAATAAATTTATTAGTGATTTTAGATTGACAGAGAGAGGAATATCCCTCTCAAAAATATATCGTAGTACACTTGCTATGCTAATAGCATTCAATATTAACTCTGTTATAAAAAATATAACAGATATTAGTTTTAGGGACGAAGCTGTGCTGTCTAGGCTACCTAACAACACAGTGACAGATTTAAACTAGATTTTAAGACAACAGAACATACCATCATATATAATGTTAGGAGTAAGGTATATTCTGGCAAAAAAAAACTCATATCTAATGTTGTTACACAGGCTCAGGGGCAGCACAATTTAATCTTATTTTATATTAATATTCAGGGCTGCTCCTCTAAAATATTTGAAATAGAAATGTTTCTTGAGAAAACACAATTTGATATAGTTTGTTTAGCAGAACATTGGTTGAAAGAGGACCAATTAATATCTTTCAATTTTGAAAATTATACTGTAATAAGTAATTTTAGTAGAAAGAATATGTTACACGGCGGGTCCTTAATTTTAGTTAAAAATGGCATTAAGTCCAAAGAAAGGAAAGATATTGTAGCACTGTCAGTTGAACACACTATTGAGTTGTCCTGTGTTGAGCTGGATAGACATGTTGTTGTTTGTGTATATAGACCACCTAATTATCAGAATCTTGCATTGTTTGATTCTGTAATGGAAGATGTTTTGAGAAAAGTATGTTCTAGCCATAAATCAGTACTTGTATGTGGCGATTTTAATATTAATTTATTGGAGAACAATACAAGTGGCATGGAGCTATTAAATTTGTTTGAATCATTTAATTTAAAAAATGTTTTTCTAGAACCGACTAGGATAACACCCTCCACAGCCACATGTATTGATAACATTTTTAGTAACTGCAATTATTTAGAAAAAAAAGTTATAAACAGTTTACCTTCTGACCACAGTGGTCTTGTGGTTACTTACAGCTCTTATTTGCCTCTTCAAAAAATTCAAATAAAGTTTAGACATATAACAAATAAAAATTTAGAGAAACTTAATGATTCATTAGCATCTAAATTAAGTATAGAAAATTTTGATGTAAGTAATCCAAGCAGGTTATACGAAAAATTTTTTACGGTGTTAAATAGGGAATTTCAAGATATTTTGCCAATGAAATATAAAGACGTCTATGCTAAGTTTCAGTTTAGCGATTGGGCTACCGCAGGTATTCGTAAGAGTAGAGATAAACTTTTTGAACTTTATGGCATGAAACCATACAATTGCGACCCTCTTTTTCATCAACATGTAAAATTGTACTCAAAGACATTTAGAATAGTATGCAAAACCGCAAAGCGTCTTTTCATCAGTAATAAAATAAAATCAGCTGAAGATAAGATAAAGGCTACGTGGAAAATAATACAGAATGAGACAGGTAGGAATAAATTAAAACATTCGGCTTTTTGTTTAAACACAGAGAGGGGACAGATTTCGTCAAGCACAGATGTAGCTCAGGAGTTTGAGACTTTTTTTGCTAATATACCTGTCAAAACAACGGCTCATTTAAAATCATCGGCCAGACTATCGGCAACTTTGCTTAGAGAAAATGTTAAATCATGCGAATGCGACTTTAGTTTTCATTATACTAGTCCTCTAGAGATAATAAAGGTTTTTAAAGAAATCAAGGTCAAATCAACTGAGGACCTTTGGGGACTATCCGTGAAAGTCTGCGGATCACTTATCCGAACTTTAGCGCCGTATCTGGTTTTGATTTTCAATAAAAGTATAGATGACGGTGTCTTCCCAAACCTAATGAAATACAGTAAAGTTATTCCATTATTCAAAAATGGTGACACTAAGGAACCAAACAACTATAGGCCTGTGTCTGTTCTGCCGGTTCTTAGCAAAGTGTTCGAAAAGTTAATGCTATCTCGGATGCTTCATCACTTTGATAAACATGCCATCTTCCATCACCAACAATACGGTTTCACTAAAGGTCGTTGTACAACTGACGCCGGTGTCACGTTGATAAAGGAAGTACTCGGTGCTTGGGAGGAAGCACAGGATGCTGTTGGTGTCTTTTGCGACCTCTCAAAAGCGTTCGATTGCGTTGATCATGAAACACTCTTGCTGAAATTAGATCATTACGGGATTAGACATACTGCACTCCGTCTACTAAAATCATATTTAGAGGATAGGCAGCTGAGAGTTCATGTAGGTGGTTATAACTCACAGGGCTCTGAGATAAGAATGGGCGTTCCACAGGGTTCAATATTGGGTCCGTTTCTCTTTTTAGTGTATGTTAATGACTTGCCATTTCTATTTAAAACCGAGCCAAGTATGGTGCTGTTTGCTGATGATACATCATTAATTTTTAAAATAGGTCGACGTTCTAATAATTTTGACGAAGTAAACAGCTCCATTCATCAAGTTCATAATTGGTTTACAGTCAATAATTTAGCACTTAACGAGAAAAAAACAAAATGTATTAAATTTAGCTTGCCCAACGTACACAGTAATGATTGTAGCATAATTTTAAATGGGCAAAAGTTAGAATTTGTCAACGAGACAGTGTTTCTAGGTATCACACTAGACAATAGACTTCAATGGGGTTCCCACATAAAGACGCTTTCGGGGAGACTAAGCTCTGCTGTTTTTGCAGTTAGACAGATAAGACAGCTCACAGACGTGAACACAGCAAGGCTTGTCTATTTTAGCTATTTTCACAGCATTATGTCATACGGAATTTTGCTGTGGGGTCGAGCTGCGGAAGTAGAATCAATATTTATTCTACAAAAGCGGGCTATCCGAGCGATATATAACTTGCCCCGTCGCGAATCTCTGAGAGAACTATTTAAAACGATAAATATCCTGACGGTGCCTTGTCAGTTTATATATGAAAATATTATGTATGTAAGGAAAAATTTGCAATTATTTGAAAAAAGAAGCGATAGACATAATTTTAATACAAGAGGCAAAGATAGGCTGGCTGTGCCACGATTCCGTCTGTCCAAGGTACAGAAATCCTTTATGGGGTTCTGTGTAAATTGTTACAATAAAATTCCAAGTACTGTATTGAATCTTAACGAACGAAAATTTAAAACTTATATTAAACGTGAATTGTGTAGACAGGCATACTACAAACTTTCAGATTATATTGAGGATAAGAATGCCTGGCAGCGTGTTGGTTCGGCTCCACTGGACAATACTCAAATATAGTCAGCAGTTAGGTAAAATTCTCAAAAATAATGCATCCTTAATTTATATATCCAAAAAGTTTATATAGAAGCACTCTTAAATATTGTGAGTACGCATATGTGAGCGCCATGCTCGAGACGACAAAGGAGTAAAATTTTATGATAGGTCCCCTCATTTGTTCTTTTTTTTAACAACTTGTCTCTGCATTGTTCTCACATAAGGGTACACTAATGTATACTATAAATGTTATATTATTGAAATTGTAAAACAATTTTTTTTTTAAAAAGAGTAACGAATGGAGTTTCTTGCTCGTTCTTCTCCATTCGAATCTACAATTTGGAATGAGCACCTAGCTTCACTGACGAACAGACTGACAGACTACTTTTCTATTTTGACGTTTCAAAAGTACCAATTGATGGTTTAATTGGAATAAATGATTTTGACTTTGACTTTGAACCCTAATGAGGTTATAATAAGTAATTAAAAACAGTTTTCTTTCTTTCTAATTAGTGAAGGAAAAATAGTTTGATGCTTATTTAGTGGCGTTTAACATTAACAAGTCAGTAGGAAACAGACAGGCAAACAGAAGATTATGTCAATTTCAATTGTCAACAAAATGTCCGGTAATCCCGTGTAATCTGTCGCCGCCGCCGCCGCGCTGTCTGCCGGCTGCAGCAGTGCATCGCGCAATGAATGGGACTTCTAATATTGTAATTGTAGTCGTGTTTACTACTAAAATAATAAGCTGTATTAAGTGAAATTTAAACTGTAGACAATTACTAGCAGTTAATAAACATTTTAATACTTCTAAAGTGCTCTAAATAGTAGAATACCAAAGAACAAGCTTTTCACATCACAGCACATCATCAGCCTATACACACATTGTTGAAAAAAGGCCTCTTCTGACACGAAGAAGGTATGAACGTTAATCGCCACGCTTGCTCAAAGTGAATTGGCGATTTCAAACTTTACACGTCCAGGTTAACTCAGGATATTTTTACTTCACCATTTGCCAGTTTACTTACATGGATAAAGTCTCATTGGTACTTGCCAGGTTTCGAACGCGTGACCTCATAACGTTATGCATGTCAAGGTTGTCAAGCGAATTAGGTACTTAAGTCTGTCAAAATCATATAAAACCAAAATCAGCACTTGCAATTCCTTAACTTCAGATCGCGAAAAAAAGTAAAAATTGTATACTTAATACATCTAACAATATTTATAACTAAGAGGTATTCACAATTCACAATTAAATTGAATTACCTACAAAAAAGTATTTACCAACAATTTCTAAAGCCGTCGGCAAATTCTTCAGTCATTCAACCGAGTATTATCAACACGGATGTATTGATGTGCCGGGCATCAAACCCGCACCGGCCACAATGGAACTATTACGCTAAACGTCTACTGATCCGCCGTAATCCTTCACATTGTGACGTACTTCCGACGGAAGTGACGTATAGTGGCAGTGTTTGTATCAGTTTCAGGGAAAGGAGTTTTACTAGGAATGTTTATAGAATTTGTAATACTTTTGTTGAATTACACTCTTACTGTTTATTAGAATCGTATTTATCGGGTAGTAACGAAAACTAACATAGCTAAACATTGCTTTATGAGATTTGCGATGATAATAGCTATAAAAATATGTGGTAACTAGCTACTCTCACGCGGTTTCACCCGCTGCTCAGCTACATTTGATCGTAGCGTGACGTTTTATAGCCTATAGCACTCAGGAACATTGTAGCTATCTATCAGTGAAATGAATTTTGGCAATCCGACCAGGCAGCGGTTCCAAAGATTACCCCCTACATACAAACTTACAAATTTTACCTCTTTATAATATTAGACGGTATAGATGAAAAAAATATGAACATTGGTGTAGTATTTCAACCAGAAACTCCTGTTTTTGAAATTAGAAATTTCAATGTATAGATAACTGTCGCGAGTCCTACCTACCTACTTTCAATAAAAAAAATTGATCTATGTAGAAAGACCAAAGCAAAAATTCGTTCTTACTATTATTTTATGTTATTTTGTGCACAACTTTTTATCGCTTATATAAGGCATTGAGGAGCGGGGCCTCCTATCACAGGTAGGTATATCTTTTACTTAAAAGGAGGTCCCTATGTAAGATTAACTGTAAAAGTTTTGTACTTACATGTTTCTGAAATAAACTTTTTTTTACTATTCTTACATAGAGTCTATCTTGTATGAATAGGTATCTATCTATCTACTAACTGAATATTCTTTGATGTAGACTACTTATAAAAGAAGTAAAAGCCAAAATATCAACATTCAATATTCCAAAACTCAATGAACAACCAACAATTTATAGGAAAAAAATATCTAATTCATCTACAATAATTCTTGTCGCGAAAAATACGTCAAATAAACCACTTTACCGTACTACCTAATCTCAATTTATAATTTCATCTCCAGAGCTCTTTATATCATCCACAACAATAAAGGTTTTTAGAAAATACAAAAATAAAAAAAAAGATGTCGTTAACCCCACGCCACTCGACGTCGTCACGCTGTCGTGTCGCTTTCGTCACGTCGCCGGTCGAGTGTAAACCGCCCGCAATATTTATATTGACGTTACGTCAATATGATTTGATGTCTGCAAGGATTGTATTGTAAGTAAGGAGCACTTTATTGTGTTTTCTTTGGGCTTTTGTTGTTAGAGATTTATTGAAGCTATTTTTAAAAATAGATTGACGGAGCCACGTTAAGACGTTGTTGCATAAATTCATTTTTAAAAGTCATTGAATTCAGTATTTTCATTCAATTTTAAAGTGTGGGAGAGCCATTCTTCGGCACGAATGTGTCTGCTTGAAAGGAATGATACCACGGCCTCACAGAAAACCGATGTGAAACAACCATAGTATTGTGTTTCGCCGTGTGAGCGAGGTTACAGGAGACCCAATCCCTCCCCAATTCCTTAAACTCCAAATCCCCAATCCCCAAAAGGTCTGCAACGCACTCGTAACTGCTCTGTTGTTGCGAACACAAAAATAATTGTTCAATTCGGACCAGTAGTTAAAGGGATAAGCGCGTACAAACAAACAAACTCTACTGCTTCATTATATTATATATAATAAAGTACAGATTAAATGTTTGCTTTAAAGACGAAACCTCAAACATTATTGATCTTTGTTAGAATTGTGTTTATAGCAACACAAAATGTATGATGAAAGTAGTAATAAAGCAACATTAGTACGTAATAAGTACAGGGAAACACTTTATTAACACGAAAATAAGCAATTTCCGCACAATCGTCGCATTTCAATTATAAACCCCACACTGCTGCCTACGACATAAACCGCCCACCATAACCAAAGCCCCGACACACCCCTCGCTCCAAACAAATTGCTTCACAACAACCGATCACGAGGGGCCTCGTTAAACTGGTCCATTGTAATGATTTCTGTCGAATAGAAATATTATAGAATTGAGAGCGAGACAGAGATATACTGCATCGTGTTTTGGAAAGGGATAGATAGAGCGATTAAACGCATTTAGGGATTAGAGGTGACGAGTGTCGGGAACAGTAATGCTTTGATTCGGGTTTGATTCCCGTTCCAAATGGGACGGTAATGAGTTGTTTATTTGACAGATGTCATCGCGGGGATGACGTCGAGGAGTCGAACCTACTTACCGGAGTTAGGCGGCGTGAGTGAAACGTGAATGAATGTACGGGATATAGGAAAAAATATTCGAATAAAATGTAGATAAGGTTATCTGTTCAGTTTTGTTATTTTAAGCTACTTCTGAATATGTTATTAATAACAACCCATATGAAGATTTTATGTGGGTATGGTATAGTTTAGTTGGTAAGACCACTTATTTATTTCGTGGTCGGACTAGATAGGCACCTACAAGTTGAGGTAAAGGTGCTTTTTTAACTAGGGAAAATCATCATGGAAAATAAAAAAGATCAGGTTTCCTCGCGATGATTTCCTACACCATATAACAGTGGTGTTTAAAATAACATATTGGTACCTACTTGCCAGGTTTCTGGCCCAGCATACCACCTTTACCTTTACTTTTTGATGTAATAGTTCGTCAAATGAAACGAGCAGACGGATTACCTGGTGGTAAGCAATTGTCGCGCCCATGGAAACTCGTAGTACCAAAGGCGTTACTTGGAATTTGAGGATAGGGGATTTGAGGGTAGAGGAATTGGGGGGAGGATTGGGCCTCCGATAACCGTGTTTCACCGTGAGAGTACGTTTCTGTGAGGCCGTGGTATAAATCCGTTCAAGCCGGCCCATTCGTGTCGAAGCATGGCTCTCCCACACTTATTAACTATCTGCTTTAAATTAATTATGCTTTTTTTTTCTGAGCTGACTAGCGAGACTAAACAGACGTGTCTTTTGTTATTTATAATGCACACCTATAAATAATTGCGAAATACAAAAAAAAAAAAAAAATTTTGCGGCGTCAGATTTATATCAAGTAAAGTGTGTCATGAGTGCTTAGTAAGTGACCAACAACTTTGTCATAGTGTAAAATGAACTAATAAACTATTTTTAAACAATTTTTGTTACTGTGTTAGTTATGTCTAACCCAGAAGCCAGCCCGTTTGGCCGTAGCCAATTACTACGGCGAAGCCCACCATCGACGCCATCGGAACCTCCTTGAGATCCTAGCCCGCCTCCAGTCAGGGAAAATGAATTACCAAGTGAAGTAATTTCTACGCCGGAGATTCAGAAGTGGATGAGCTCAATTGACTCAATCTTGAATGAAGTCTGCATAGTTGTTTCGGAGGGGAAAATGAACTCTGAACAGAAGCTTCGAGTTACCAATCTTTGCCGAAAGGTTTCTAGCGGGACGTCTCAAATGGCCATTTTATACCAAGCTCTGAAGCAGAAAACTATCCAGGCCCATAACTGAAATCAGCATTTACAAGAACAGCTGAATATTTCAAACTCTCTGCACCAGCTCAAAGATGCCGTCGAAAATAAAATTCAACCCGAGACTAAATCATATGCCAATATGGTTAAAAAAGGATCGGATACTTTTGTTTGTCCAGAAAATTTGAATTCTGTCGTAATTTATCCCAATGACAAGACCAAAACGAGTGACGAAACAAAGTCTCTGGTCCAAAAGATTATCTCGCCGGAAGAACTTAAGCTGCACGTTCGTGGATTGAAGAAGGTTAGAAATGGGGGTGTCATAATTAATACTGAAACTAAAGGGGACATTGAAAAACTTAAGAACTCAGAAAAATTAGTTTCATCTGGTCTTAAAATTGAAGAACCATCAAAACGTCGACCCAGGATTGCTGTTATTGGTGTACCAGTAGCCCTTACAGAAAAAGAGGTATTCGATTGCATATTCGAGCAAAACATTACCGACAAGTTGCCGAATATAACACGTGAGTCATTCCTGGAAACAATCAAATTGAGCCACAAATCGGGTAAGAAGAATCTTTCTAACTGTAACTATGTTTTGGAAGTTCCTGCCAGCATTAGGAGAGCATTAATTAATCAAGGCCGAATCTTCATCAATTGGACGTCATGTCCAGTCCGAGATTTTACTATTGTGACAAGGTGCTTTAATTGCCAACAATTTGGTCATGCGGCCAAGTTTTGCCGAGAAGCTATTGCTACATGCAATCACTGTGGAGAAACTGGCCACTCCTTCAAGGACTGTAGTAACAAATCTTCTCCCTCACAATGTGCGACGTGCAAACGTTTTAAGCGTAAATGTGACCATCCAACAGGGGATATGAGTTGCCCAGCTCGCAAATACGCAGAAGACTACTACATTAATTCCATAGACTATGAAGGGGCCTAATGCTACCACACACCTTAGTATGTAAGCACTTTAGAAGTAAACTTTTATTTTGTATTCTTAAAAATTGTAAATTTGTAATTATTATGACCACTCAGCTAATAGATGACCTAGACAGTTTTTCTGTGTCTGACGCGCAAGTATGCAATTTAAAAATAATCGCACATAACTTAATTTCGCACGCTGACTTTGCATGCACTTGCCCTGCTTTGGTAAATGCTGATTAGACTAAATATGTAGGTGTAACAATTGACACAAATCTGAACTTCCGTAAACACATCGGTCTTTTGTGTACTAGATCGTATGTGCTATTGATGCGTAAATTGATCTATTTTTAAAAACTTCTAGAAATCGTACAATGTTGGTTACTAGTCCGTAAGAAACAAACACTTTAAGTGTTATTTTAAATCTGTTTTATAATTTTTATATGTATAATATTTAGTCTTGTAGTCATAAACAAAATACTTTTTTCATTAGTAATATTAATTTTATTTGCCCCACGTATTAAAAAGTCGTAGACTGATGGCCTGAAACACAGGTTTACAAACCTAGCTCGGGCAGGTCACTTTAATATCGTAAGTCCTTGTTAATAACAAGTATTTCATAATTGTGAAAAAAAATAGTATAAGTTGTAATTACCTTGCATTATATAAATACCTAAAAGTTAACTATTGAAATTACTGTGGCTTATTATAAAAAATATTTTGTAGAAAGTTATCAATAAATTTATTTTATTTTATTTTTTATTTATTTTATTTTTAATTCACAAACCTAACCCAAGCATCACAAACAGTCATCATCATCATGATCATCATTAGCCTATGAATGCTTACTGCTGAGCAAAGGCCTCTTTTCATAGGGAGAAGGTTAGAGCATTAATCACCACGCTTGCTCAATGCGGTTTGGCGATTTCCAACTAATAATTAGAAATTATAAAGTCCAGGTTTCCTCACGATGTCTACCTTCACCGTATGTCAGTGGTGTCTTAATAATCATAGAAAGTACATATAACTCGGAAGAAGTCACATTGGTACTTGCCAGGTTTCGAATCCACATCCTCATGTATGAGAAGCGGGCGCCTTAACCTCCGGGTCACCACGACACGTCACAGACAGTACAAACTAATTACTTACCCGTCTACCAACCTTTTACTCAAACACCTAATGATCATTATCATCAGCCACTGCATCATCAAGCTAATTTAAACTTTAACCCACTCGAACCAAAATCCCAAATTCCCCTTACGATCAAAATCGAGTGATCTGTGCCTTATCAGTGTAATATCTAAAGAGATGAGCTATAGCGCTTGTTATCGGACTGGGGTAGGCAGAGATAGGTGAACAAGTGTAATTATGATATTGACTCTGATTAGGGAAGGTATCTGGTGGATGATAGGATGGTAGGAGGGGTGATCAATGATAAGTGGGTTCTTTGTCACGTCAGGAGTTGTGAAGTGGTTGACGAGTTGTTATCATCTTCGAACCTGGATGATTAACACGTTTTACAGTGATTGAAGTATTTGTACAATGTTATCTGATTGCTTCCATCACTGTATCTTTGCTGGTTCTTTTTTTATGCGATAGATAGTACTTAAGTAGAGTGTTCACGAAAAAAATCATCAGTCTAATGTTTCCTACGAATTTTCACCAATACCTACGTAGGTTTCATTTCATTCATTAAATTTTTTCGTTTATAATGAAGTTAAAAAGAAACTGATTTCTATTGTTTTAAGCAAGCATTCAGTTCCAATTCGCTACTTAAGCAGTTGTAGAAATTGGAATATAATTAGTGAATTAAACTACTATAATTATCTATTGGTCGTCAAACAACAAACTATTGAAAATAAGGTTATATTGTCGATAACTTGGTAATAAAATATATTCCAGACCAAATGACAAGATCCATATACCTTCTGTTAGTAAAATTCTCAACCTAATATTAGTGAAAACAACACTCTAGGTATAAAGAAAATTTAAATGACTGCACTACGTGTGCAGCCGTATTCAGTGAGCAATCATGGGGCTGTCCCACCTATACCACATTACACAGTACACACGTAGGTATGACCTGGCCTCGGTGAACATCC